TAGAATCCCACAGAACCAGATTCAAATTCTGTTCCAAATGTGTATAAGCTTTGACTTTCATATGTTCTTTCTCTAGAATCCAAATAATTTCTAATAATATTCTTGGATAAGTCAACTAAGACCCATTAGGTAAACTCCTCCAACTCCTCGCACTTCCCAGTACCCTAATATTGCTAATCCAGTGTTTAATTTCCAATCCAGATTCTACATTCTCAACCACTTTTTAGAAATTTTACTTCATAGGAGCATGGAACTAAAGTCTTGAAAACAAAGGGTAGCAATTTGGTCCAGAAAAAGTACCCATATCCTTAATTTGTGGCCAAATGAAAGAAAATCATTATAAAATTTTATGTGTTGAAAATAGTACTTAGTAGAGAACAATTTTCTCTTTATTTAGTGCATTATTCAGGAAGTTCCGAAGTTAAAAAGCCTATGCCATGCACCTCAGCACAATTTTGAAAATATTGTATTTAATTAAAATAGGAATTTCTGAAATGATTACTATAGCATTTATCTTTCAAAACCTCACATACAGTTTTTGACCTATAAAATATTTATGAGTTAATTTGCCTTTTCCCCATGTTATGGCACACAAGAGCAGCAAAGACCTTGAAATTTCCTTTAATACAAGCTGCCCTTTTAAAAAGTTGTGGTTTTAAGTAGCATATTTCCTCAGTATGTATGGAACGAACTTCTCCTCCAAACTCAGTTTTACTTACCCAGCCAGGAAGAGAACGGGAGAAAGAGAAGAATCCTGACCTGTAATATCATCTTAGCAAAAAGAATAATCTCCATTTTAAATTATTGAGGGTGAGCCACTGGCAGAAACTGCCAGCAAAGTTAGAGATACCTAGCGACCACTTAATTGTCAACCTCACTGTTTACACACTTACACACAGTCACTTTCACCACGATATAAGCGCAGACTTCAAAGGCACACCTGCTAAAGCTGCCATTGTCACTTGCTGTTTAATATTTAAACAAAGTATTTAGAATTTATGGCATATACTTGGTAGCTTTTTAAATTAAAAAAAAAAAACCAGGCTAACATATATAATACTTATGAAATTAACGGATAAATGTGCTTAGCTGCTAACATTTCACATTAGGCACACAGAAAAAGAGAATTAACAATTCACCAGGTATTGCATTGTAACTTTAGTTATTTTATTCTACATTGCTTTCTTCTACATTGCTCAGTAATATTTTTGAAAGGTCAATACTGGAACCAACTAAGCTCTCTGTGGCATAGCTTTCCTTTTATAAAATTAGCAAACTTTTCATTCAGTTATCAAATAGATGTCCCTAAAAATTGATAAAGTAGCAATGTGATCTTTCAGTCCTTTTTGCCTTTCTGATGTCTGCTCACCATTCCTTCTTTTCTTTTCTCTTTCTTATCATCATCCCAATCTGTAATATCCCTAAGGCTATATTCCAGTACCTCTACTTCTCCAGTACTCCCTCAGACCCTCTTCCCTGGTAATATGGAGTTGCATTTTACATAGAGTTTGGTTCTGAAATCATTAGGTGAGGTAAAAAATCATATAAATTCAGAAATACCCTGGGAAAAAAATTCCTTCCTTCACCCTTAACGTATAATATACATGGCCGTTTTTACACATCATGTTTGAGGCTTCTGTACCATCCAACTCAGCCAGTTTTTCCTCCAGCATTGGAACAGATTGCTGTTTTCTCAGCTAAACACCTGATAAAGTAGTTGGCTTGCATTTGGGGGCCATGTTGTACAAGAAAAAAAAGGTATCTTTAAACACTTGAATCACACGCAGCATGGTGAGATGCTCATACTATGAGAGCAATTCAGGAACTGAGACCAACTGAAGGAACATCAGATTCACATCTCCCTTCTCGCGCTCCTCTGGGGCATATGCTTTAGTGGAACGTGGGACAGAATCACCCACACTATTTACATTCTCCTATTTCTCTCTTTCTCTTCCTGGCAGAGTAAGTATAATTGAGTATGGATGAGAACTTTATTCTGTATGTATTGAGGAAATATGCCATTTAAAACCATAACTTAGAAGGGCAGCTCATGTTAGAGGAAACTTTAGGGTCTCAGTTGTCATTGTGTGCTGTAACAGGAATCTCCTTTGATAAAATGGAGTGAACGCTTCATAGGTTGAAATCATACAAAGATGAAGAAGACTGTATATCTGTAAGTATGCAGTATGGAGAGAACTGATTTGCTCTATATCATGGTTTTGCAGCCTTGGATTCATTGACATTTTTGATTGGATAGTCCCTTATTGTGGCTGGCTGTCCTGTGCATTGTAGGATGTTAAGCAGCATACCCAGCTTCAACTCACTAGTTGCTTGTAGTAATCTCCCCAAAGTTATGGCAACCAAAAATGTCTCCGGACATTGCTGAACCACCGCTTGTCAGTGTGTGTCAAGGGCAGAGGGAGGTATCACCCATGATTGAAAAACACTTCTCATTATAATAGAGTGAAGAGTTTGAAAATTTTCAGGAGAAATTCTAAATGGGAGACATGAAAAGGGGATATGGAGTGGGAGTTGGAGCAAGACTGGGCACTATGTTAGGTGAAGGGGCCTTTGAAAATCCTTTAGTCATGGCATGATTGGAGGCTTATATGATATATATGTCTAGGCTGGGTGCAGTGGCTCACTCTTGTAATCCCAGCACTTTGGAAGGCCAAGGTGGGCAGCTCACTTAAGGTCAGGAGTTCAAGACCAGCCTGGGCAACTCGACAAAACCCCATCTCTACTAAAAACATAAAAATTAGCTGGGCATGGTGGTGCTTGCCTGTAGACCCAGCTACTAGGGAGGCGAGAATCACTTGAACTGGGTGGTGGAAATTGCCATGAGCCAAGATGGCATGACTGCATTCAAGACTGCGTGACAGAATAAGACTCTCTATATATATATATATATATATATATATATATATATATATATAAAATCTGATTTGAAACTACTTTCTGTTATATGAACCCCCTTCCATTTCTCAAACCTCCAGTCAAGTCTATTGTAAATACCAACATCATATGTGAACAACTAACTTATGGCCATTAAGGAAGAGAATGAGTCCCCCATCTGAGCTGACATGATGTGGAATAAGGACCCACATGGAAAGTTTACTTAATTCAGAAGAAATGGCATCTTGGAACCAACTACAATCAACAAGGGTGACACAAAAGCCTTGAATTTCCATGATGCATGGATTATAGGTTTGAACACATTTCTTTTTTGAGACAGTGTCTCACTCTGTTGCCACGCTGGAGTGCAGTGGTGCGATCTCAGCTCACTGCAACCTCTACCTCCTGGATTCAAGCAATTTCCCTGCCTCAGCCTTGCGAATAGCTGGGTCTACAGGTGGAGGTGCACACCATGACACCCATCTCCTGGCTAATTTCTGTATTTTTAGTAGAGATGGGGTTTCACCATGTTGGCCAGGTCTTGAACTCCTGACTTCAGGTGAACCACCTGCCTCAGCCTCCCAAAGTGCTGGGATTACAGGCATGAGTCACTGCGCCTGGCCAGGTTTAAACACTGTTATCTAGATCTTTGAAGTATGGGAGCTTCTCAGTGACACCATGAGTGGTTTCATGACTCCATGACTTGTGGGTTCTATAGACCAGGGTCCCCAAGCCCCTGGTCAGGGACTGCTACCAGTGTCATGGCCTGTTAGGAACCAGGCCGCATAGCAGGAGGTGCGCAGCGGAGGAGCCCACATTACTATCTGAGCTCCACCTCCTGCCAGATCACATGCAGCATTAGATTCTCACAGGAGCACAAACCCTATTGTGAACTGTGTATGTAATGGATCCAGGTTGCATTCTTATGAGAATGATCCTAATGCCTGATAATCTGAGATGGAACAGTTCCATCCCGAAACCATCCTCCTACCCCAAAAAAACCGTCTTCAACGAAACCAGTCTCTGGTGCCAAAGGTTAGGGACCACTGCCTAGACCACACAGAGCCACCACCAACTCCTGCAAGGGTTAATGTGGGAGGGAAAGAAGATGCTCTTCTCCTCTATCCAGATCTGTCTTGGGATTGGGATTGGAATTTCTTCCAGAAATGGGAAGTGATTTCATTGCGAGGATGACTTTTACCTTGTAATATGAATCTGCCCCAAGACGCTGCTAATTTTCCTGCTCCTCACCCTCAAAATCTTGCAGTCTCTTTGATGTCTTCAGCTTAGTTCCTCCTCTATTACCCTGTAAACAAGGTCCCATAAAGTTTTGTATAAAAAATTTAAAACTGTCGCTTTGTCACACCGCCTGGCTACAGATATGGCAGGGTTCCACTTCTCTTGGCCCACTCCCCTTTTAGTCCCAGATTTATTCTGTCAAATATGAACTGTTTTCTGAACACATTCTACTCTTGATCACTCCTATGCTATTGGCTCAAGCTGTCCGTCTGTATAGAGAGCCTTTCATTGCCATATCTTCAGGTCTTAATTTGATCTATTTGATCTATTCTATTCTACTTTAAAATATTGGTCCAGTGATACTATTTTATATGGTAAAGCAAACTCTGAACGCACAGAATTTTATTTATGCCTCCTTAATGGCATTAGCACTTTTCTCCATTGTAATAGCTATTTGTGTACATGGTGTACACAGATAGCTCCTAGACTCAGAGCTGTTTGAAAACAAGAACTATGTCTTAACATAATTGGTTCATAACAGCTGTTATGTAGTTGATTTTAATATTTTTCTTTTTCCTCAAAAGAATTTAAGGTGGCTTAAAAGAAGACACAAAATGTTGGCTAATGACTTAGATTAGAAAAAAAAGTGAGGGAAAAATAAGGAAGATTTAATAGAAACTTAAGAATAGTAGGTTGTCAGCTGGGCATGCTGTGGTTCGTGCCTGTAATTCCAGCACTTTGGGAGGGAGTGGTGGGAGGATTGCTTAATGCCAGGAGTTCAAGACCAGCCTCAGTAACAGCAAAACCTCATCTCTTAAAAAAAATAAAAAAATTAGCTGGGCATGGTGGTGCATGCTTGTAGTCCTAACTACTAGGGAGGCTGAGGTGGGAGGATCACTTGATCCCAGGAGTTTGAGGCTGCAGTGGGCTATGATTGTACCATTTCATGCCAGCATGGGTGGCAGAGTAATAGCTTATCTTTAAAAGAGAGAGAGAGAGAGAATAGTAGATTGTTAACAAAAAACACCGAAGAATAAATACATTTTCCTTATCTAAATCTTGTCAGTGGGTCCAATCTTAGAAACAAACTGAGATTGCTTCCTCATTCATAACTCTTCCCCCAATAGTGATGTCTGGATTTGAGGAAGGGAAAACAGGGAATAAAGAAGTGACGTGAGACATTTTTCATTCTGTTTTCTCCCTTCTCCAGATCTGGTCATGCTTTATTTATTATGTGGTCTGTTAGGAACTGCTGTCTTTTTTCATGAACTTACCTTCCTGAACACTGTGATGCTTCTAGGAATGGGCACTTGGTTCAAGCAAGCCAAATAGAATCCTTCTCTTGAGTTTTTGGAGCTGAAGAAAGAGGCAAAAGCCTTTTCTCCATGGATAGTGAGCTGGAAATCTGCTGAATCACTCCAGCCCCTGGGCAGAGAAAGCACATTTTCAGGACAAGAATTTAAAGCCAATCCGTACAAAGAAGCAGAGATCAGAAACAGACAATTCTGATAGTATTTGGACCCCTGGTTATTTTTTCTGAGACCACTCCCAAAGCTTCCTTGCTTTCCAACGCATATTTGTTAGAGCTTCTTCTGGTTCTTATTGGATGCAATCGAAGCTCTTGAGTCTGACAATCTGGCATTTCCAGCACCAGTCAGCCTTATCTTGCTTCTAGCTTCCCAGTCAAGAGTTGCCTTCTCCCAGATGCCATGCTCATTTTCGATTGTGCAGTTTTCTTGAATGACCTCTTGCCTCCTCTCTCCATAATACTAATTCTTGCCTCTCTTCAGGGTCTAGTTCAACATTTATCTGCTCTACTGAACCCTTCTTGATTGATCTTTTCCTTCTCTGAACTACCATACCCCTTGTATTCCCAGCTTTTCTATATTGTCTGAAACAGATTTATCTTTCTGCCTTGGTTTGTTTTCCTGTGTATTTTGTGTGTAAGTGTGTGTGTGTGTGTGTGTGTGTGTTTATTTACTTACAAAGTTGTTAGTTCCTTGATTTGTTTGAACACGACCCTTTAGGGTGAGGAGTGGAGGAGAATTGAACTGATCTACATAAAAAAGAGAGCAGAGGTCAGCAAAGCCTAAGTTCTCTCCTCTCGCTTTCCTCTGGAGAGTGGGACAGCATGAGCTTCACCAATCACTCTACTTTCTCCACAAACTACCAGGCCCTGGGCTCTGTCCAGGTGCCACTTAAAGCATCTGGCTGGTCAGCAGCATGGCCACCGTCTAAGCAGGTGCCTGGGGCTCTGGTTCCCGCATCTCCGTGTCTTGCTCCACCAGCTTCCGGGTGGCATGGGGTCCGGGGGCCTGGCTGCAGGGATGGCCAGGACTCTGGCAGGAATGGGAGGCATCCAGAACAAGAAGGAGACCATACAAAGCCTGAGTGACCACCTGGCCTCCTACCTGGCCAGAGTGAGGATCCTGGAGACCAAAACTGGAAGCTGGAGAGCAAAATATGGGAGCACCTGGAGAAGAAGCGACCCCAGGTCAGAGACTGGAGCCATTACTTCAAGACCATCAAGGACCTGAGGGCTCAGATCTTCACAAATACTGTGGACAATGCCCACATTGTTCTGCAGATCGACAATGCTCATCTTGCTGCTGATGACTTTACAGTCAAGTATGAGACACAGCTGGCCAGGCACCAGTCTATGAAGAGTGACATCCATGGGCTCCACAAGGCCATTGATGACACCAATGTCATTTGGCTGCAGCTGGAGACGGAGATCGAGGCTCTCAAGGAGGAGCTGCTCTTAATGAAGAAGAACCATGAAGAGGAAGTAAAAGGCCTGCAAGCTCAGATCGCCAGCTCTGGGTTGACCGTGGAGGTAGATGCCCTCAAATCTCAGGACTTTGCCAAGATCATGGCAGATATCTGGGCCCAATATGACAAGCTTCCTTGGAAGAACCAAGAGAACCTGGACAAGTACTGGTCTCAGCAGATTAAGGAGAGCACCACAGTGGTCACCACACAGTCTGCCAAGGTTGGAGCTGCTGAGATGACACTCACAGAGCTGAAACATGCAGTCCAGTCCTTGGAGATCGACCTGGACTCCATGAGAAATCTAAAGGCCAGCTTGGAGCACAGCCTGAGGGAGGTGGAGGCCTGCTACGCCCTGCAGATGGAGCAGCTCAACAGGATCCTGCTGCACCTGGAATCAGAGCTCCCACAGACCCGGGCAGAGGGACAGCGCCAGGTACAGGAGTAGGAGGCCCTGCTGAACATCAAGGTCAAGCTGGAGGCTGAGACCGCCACCTACCGTCGCCTGCTGGGAGATGGCAATCTTGGTGATGTCCTGGACAGCAGCAACTCCATGCAAACCATCCAAAAGACCACCATCAGCTGGATAGTGGATGGCAAAGTGGTATCTGAGACCAATGACACCAAAGTTCTGAAACATTAAGCCAGCAGAAGCAGGGGACCCTTTGGGGAGCAAGAGGCCAATTAAAAGTTCAGAGGTCAAAAAAAAAAAAAAAAGAGAGAGAGCAGAATATGAGACTCTTGCAAGCAATCCAGAAAGGGAGAAATGAAGACCAGAGATGGAAGTTTGGGAGAAAGGAGGAGAGTGGAGCAGCGAGCACTGGAGGTTGTATATAGCCTGATGTGATTATTTTCCATGTTCCCAGTTCCTCAGGAAATTAAAGCAAACTCATAAAACGCTTGGAGAACATGCATATTTTATGGAAACTGATGAAGGGATAGAGTTCTGGCTTGTCAAGGGGGAAAACTGAGGAAACACACATGAATGCAGGTGCTGTAGGCAGAGTGGCCATGAAAGATACCAGCCCTTGGGGATCTGCAGAAAACATGAGGAGTTTCAAGACCTAACCATGTCTGGATTGGGGGTTCAAGCCAAAGGGCAGGATGTCTCAACAATCATCTGGGTTATAAGTGTTTATTCATTTGGTAGTAGGCAAATTACTCCTGCCTTCCCATGTTGATAATAAATCCCATGAGTAGAGTCCATGCTGTCTCTCCTATCTCAAATTCTCTCACACTGGGTCAAGCTCAAAGTAATTATATCCCTTGCCTCTCCACTTTCTATTGCCTTCTCTTTGTCAATGTTGGGCTGATAACTGATACAATTTTGCTTTTATCAGGTCGGTTTCCAGATCTATAGAAGAAGGAGGAAAAAGAGGAGAGGGGAAGAGTGGGCCCTGTTATTGCTCTCCACATGTTAAACTCCTGATGGTGGCCAGATTCCTTCATTATCTGGCTTCATTCCATTTATCTAACCTCATCTGCTTTTGCCCACTTGGTTCTTCTTTCCCGGAATATTGAGTTCCTCTCTGTCTACTGACATAGCATGAAGAGTTTCATCTCAGTGTCTAGCAAGAGACGGAGTTCCTCCAAGAAATCTATTTGACTCCCAATCACCAATTACCTTTCTTTCACACTTTTAATTGCATTTCTATTTAGTACTACGTCCCATGACATTCATTATTGTTCTCTTGGTGACTTTATGATGGCCAGTCTTCTCATAATCAGCTTGAGGACTAAAATGGTGATTTGCAGTTCTCATGTAGTAGGTACTTAGTACTTACTCAGTGTTTTGTAAGTCGCTTCCCTAAATGAGTTCACCAAGGTCAGGGGCTTTGTTTTGTTTCCTACTCTTTACCCAAAGCTAGAACTTGCCTAGGAAATAGTGAGTACTCAATGAATATTTATTGAATGAATTAATGAATACTGAATTAATGAATGCCAACCTTTATGAAATACAGTAGTGCAGAACAATATGTTTTCTTTGCCTTTCCCACATATTATTTCAGACTTTTTCATCTCTCCCTTAACTCTATTATAACTCCTTTGTTGAATTTTTCAGTCTTTTAGATAATTTCAAATGGCATTATCTAGCTCCTTCAGTGTAGTATCAGTCACTCTTATTTCAAATCGCGTTTGTGCCAAGTTTAATCCATTTATACTGAAAGAGAAAACAGGGTAGCCCTGTAGATGCGTGGGCTGCTCCTTCATGTCTACACTCCCTTGAGTGTATCTCAACACAGAAAACATGGGAATTGGGCATGTCTATAGCAAAATGAAATCTCTCTAGAGAGGTACTATTTTCATAAACGGAAATGTTCAATATCATAAAGATATCAATAATCCTCAAATTCATATATGAAAATCGGTTCCAAGTCCAATCAAAATCCCAACAGAGAATTTTATTTAGTGAAAGTTAATAATTGATTCCAGAATTCACTCGGAACAAAAGGTGGTGAAAAGCCAAGGCAGTTTTAAAGAAGAATGAAGGAAAGGCAATTTAGTTGTTAATATATGAGGATTTATTGTGAAGCCATATTAATTAATTCAAAGTGATGTTAGTGTAGGAATAGACAAACACACTAAACAGAACAGAGGGCCCAATATACATTTTTATATCTATGGAAGTGACACTACAAATTAGTATGGGGCTGGTGGGCACAGTGGCTTTTGCCTGTAATCCCAGCACTTTTCGAGGCAGAGGTGGGAGAATTGCTTAAGCCCAGTCATTTGAGACCATCCTGGGAAACACAGTAAAACTTTGTCTCTAGGAAAAATAAAACAGTTCGCTGAGTATGGTGGCATGCACCTGCAGTCCCAACTATTTGGGTGGCTGAGGTGGGAGGATCACTTGAACCAAGGAGTTTGAGACTTCAGTGAGTATGATCATGCCACTGCACTCCAGCCAGGGCAACAGAGTGAGACCCCATTTCTAAACAAACAAAAAAATGAGCATGGAATATCAGGTTGGAAAAAATTTTTCTGTAGGAATTGGCTAACTGTATAAAACAAAAGTGTATTTACTATATTATATACAAAAATAAAAAATGAATTTCAGGTGGATTAATAATGCAAATGTAAAAAGCAGAAACTATAAATACATTCAAGAAAAATGCAGAATATTTTCAAGGCTTCAGATAGGGAAACATTTTCTAAACAACACAGAAAATGCATAAACCATAAAGAAAAAAGATGAATAAATTTGACTACATTAAAATTTAAAGCTTATTTATAAAAAGATATCATAAAAAAGTTAAAAGGCAAGTCACAGACTGAGAGAAGATATTTCAAACCGTATATCTGACAAAGAATGGTATCAGGAATATATATTTTTTAAACTTAATAAGAAAAAGACAAGAATTAAATAGAAAAAAATGGGAAAGGATACGAATAGGCAATTCACAGAAACAGAAAAACAAATTATCATTTACGTTATTCTCTACTAGTATCCAGAAAACTATAATATCTAATAAAATTGAGAATGCAGATCCTCTATTTTATTGCCATTCTTTTTTAAGGTATATATGTGTATTAGAAAAACTCTTGTGTATGTGAACAAGTAGTTACATCTCCAGAAGATTGTGATGGTAAAAAATTGGGAAAACCCCAAATTCTCACTAGCAAAGGAATAGATAAATAACTTGTGGTATTTAAAAAAAAATCAGTTAAAAGTAAACTAATTAGGGCTATGTGAATCAATATGAATATACCTCGAAAAACATAATTTGAAGAAAGCAAATTGAGTGTATACAGCATTATACCATTTACATAAAGTTTGAAAACACACAAAACAATATTTTCTATCATTGAAGGACATATGTTGTATAGTATAACAGACTGGATTCCCAAAAAAGTAAGTTCTAAGATAGAGATTATCAAGCAAGAAGTTCTCTAGTGAGTGATTTTGGGAACAACATCTTGTGGAAAGGAGGTGAAGGAGGACTGTACAGAAGGGAGCTTGGGCTGTGATGCAGACCTAACAAAGACCCCATTCAACCCCTCTAGAGGCCTCTGAAACTGTGATTACCCTTCAGAATTGTCTTGAGTCGAGGTGATGGCCCTTGCCTTTATAGCCCTGCAATGATGGGTCACTGGATGACAGGAAAATGCATGAACCGGGGAAGGCAGCTCTCCTCTGTCTCTGTGTAGTCATTAGGAACATTCAACACCAATATTCTGTTACTCTCCTAGAAATATGGTAGCATTGTACTTTCCCACGTCCTTTAAGTTAGAGTTGGCCAATGGCATGGGAGGAGAAGTTGCATGGGTCACCTCTAGGTAGAAGCTTTTAATAGTTTGAAGTAATTCTCCAAATTTCCTTCCCACTACCCTGATGATCTGTGACATTCTAGGTGGTAGAAGCTCTTCCAGCTGCATTTCTCAATGAAGATAATGTGGATCAGTGCATTCAGCCATCCTGTAATCAACATGAGGCATGAGCAAAAAGTAAACATTTTCTTTTGTACATCACTGATATACTGGGGTTATTTGCCACTGCAGCATAACTTTCATGTGTGGACTGATACCACCTTTTGATTCCAAGTGTCACTTTTACTGTCTTTGATTTCTCTTCTTACTTCTTGCCATATGTGTTTACTTGACATTCTTTTTTGTCTTGTTCAAGATCAGGATTTCAAAAAGTGTGTTCTGTAGAAAACTAGTCATGTGAGCGGCTCTCCAAAATCATGATTTTTATGGTCAACTAAGTAAGAAACCACATGCTTTATCACTCTCTCAGGGATTTATAATTGCTGTTTAGCATATTAAATTTCCTAAGCAGTCCTTCCATTAGAAAACCTGTATTAACTAATTTTAATCTTCCATTTCACAAACTCATTTGACTATGGAACCCTAAAAATAACATCTATTAACATCTGACAGAGAAACACATTTTTAGAAAGTATGCCATAAGCATTCTTCCACTTTTCATTGCAAATTAAACACATCCAGCGGGTCTACTTGGAAGGGAAGAGAATGGAACTGGGACTTATTTACAATGGCTCCAAGAATGAACAGCCTTTCTACAGGCATAAAATTTCAATAGAATTGACTTGTAAAGAAACTATTCAATTAGCTTCAAAATAATTTCAGCACACATGTAGAATGTAGAGAATGTGAAACATAAATACGTATGTATTGGTTAAGGGGTCCTTAATTACCTAAGGCTGGCAATATGTTGGCAATGATAACATGCAGACGAATAAAAAGCAAAACCGTAAACGTTAGAAAATAACCACTGCTAAATGAGTGGGTATAGACAGAAACTTGAGGTTGTCAAAAGATCACATAAGGAGTAAAAGCCAGAATTAGTAGTAACTACATTCCATATATTGGATCTCAGAATCAAAGATTCACTGAGCCACACATCTTTCTTTGATATCATTCTGCATCTCTTGGAGTGTGATGTATAACAACTTAAATCTTAAGCACAAACAATTAGGGTAATTAGCATCTCTGTATATTTCCATGATGGCATCAGACAACAAAAGGAAACTTGCCAATTTCCCAATCAGGCAAAGTCCAAAAGATACTTTCCTGCCTGCCTGCCTTATTATTGCAGCAAATTATAGCATCACTTGCTGGCTGAGAACATAGCCACTCAGAATGAGGAGGCAGGGCAGACGGCTGCCTGTGCCTTTAGAAAATTTGTTTATTTGTTTGTTTTTTAAAGAATTTAATATTTAACTCATCTGATATCTAAAGAATTTAGATAAGAGTTAAAGAATTACTTTTTTCTAATGAAAACTCTACATTTTAATAAATTGGAGTGGTTGACAACCTGGAATGGATGGAGCAGAATGTTGCATAATCTCTAATCTCTCCCTGCATCTTTTTATATGTTTTGAATGAAAAAAGAACTATTTTAGTTGACAGGAAGAAAAGACTTCAGGGGAACACAAAACTTCCAAGGTTTTGTCTTTGCTTGCATGCATAAAAGCTTGAGATTGGAATAAAATTCTTAGTGTAATGTATTAGAGACTCAGAATCCAGATATTTTGGGAGTAGATGGCTCAGCAAAAACATAGATTACTTTTAGACCCAATCTATTATTTATTATTTCAGTTTATAAAAAATGCACCCAATGCATCTTTGGGATGAAGAGTTCAAAGTCATTGTGATTGTGTAGTTGGTTTATCTCTTGCTTATAGAAATCTGCATATTTTATGTTGACTTGAAGTTGTGTTCTTTGAGAGATTGTCATGCCATAAAGACAAAAAAAATTAAAGAATAAAATTCACAGTGTCATCATAGATACATTAATTTCTTTTAAGTTACATATCACATAAAGATTTCCTGTCAATAGAGGTTTTAGTTAAATTATGAGGAATGGCTGCTGAGATTGGTAGTGGGACATTATTTTTTATCTCTATAGTTAATCATTCCTATTGTCTTGAAGTCAGAATAAAAAACCCTACACAGAGTTCAAAGTGTGAAACCCATATTTATAAAATGAAGTAATTAGATTTTTTAAAAAATTATCTGTTTGCATTAAATTATCATTTCTAACACTTCCTCTTCTTCCTCCCTTTAGTGCTTCCAACTTCCCTCCCTGACCCCACTTCTAAAACGTTTTGGTTTGCCAAATAGACTCAATTTCCAATTTGATAAAAGAGAAAATGGTTATACTGAGCTCAAAAGATTCCTACATTGTTTTAGTTGGAGATTGATAGTGATTCTTTAAAAGTTCTAATTTTGATTCTGAGAGTCTCCTTCCTAAAATAATTCATAATGCTGAGAAACAGCATTTCTTATATTAAAATTTAATTTCAAGTGCTACATTTAAGTGAAAAAATATTACTTTGAAATCAGTCTGTTTTCACTTAAAACATACTGTATATAAGCAGATAAAGAAACTTAAGCTGTCTTTTAAAAGCTCTATTATAGATATGTACATACATAAATATTCAAATCTTGAGTCAGGTTTTGTTTCTGCTTGGTTTTTCGTTGTTTCTTGTGTAATTATACATACCTGGTGGGTTGCACCTATTTTCAAGTAAAGTAGAAGCAATCAAAATCTAGCTATGTACTAAATACATTGTATTGCTCTTTTTATTATTAAAGGTGAAAGACTTTAATATAGTCATAAATTCATAAATGAGCATCACTTGGCAAACTTCTTATATCAAATTAGGCAACATTTAATTATTAAGCTAACTAGACAAATGAATGAGATGCCAATTAAAGCCCCAGCAAGCAGCCACTGTCCATTCCTGGTTTATAATTTAATGTCCACCAAAAAAGTCAAATAAAGGTCACCATATCACCTCACATCTGCACATTTAGGAACGGAATCTGCCTGTTGAATCAGCATCACTAGATTTAAACCTGAATATTTTAAAAAGCATATCAAACAAACAAACAAATATGCTCAAAACTCCATAGAGTGAGATTTCAAAAATGGCAAATATGTAAGACAAGTTACTTAGAGTACATTTCACATTTTTCTGCAAAAAGTGAAAGCAAAGCAGTATTTTCAAATAGCAGGTAAATAGGCGTTTGTGGTAAATAGAATTTTATTTCTTAAAATACTGTATTACCAACTCAACATTGCTTTAAGGTGTAAATAGGATGAATAAAGCTGTATGGTACAGAAATAGACTCTTAAAATTGAGTTCGAGTTTTATCTTGCTCATCATGTGAATGTGAATTTCAAATGCTTAATCTGAACAAACTACTTACCATGGAGCCCTTAATGAAATACTGGTTTCAAGCAGTTTTTAGGAC